CAAACCATTTGTGATTTGATAGTTAGGGCAGATTCTGTAAAACTGAATTCTGTGTGACTTGGAAGTATTTTATCTTACCAATATTGTTGGTCCGGTGAAAGACATTCTTAATTATTTTGAACCCTGTTCAGAGGCTGTGTACACCCTTTACTAAAGGTAGTTATTCTGCAATTGCACAATATTACCTGTCATATTTTCCCATTTATTTCCCAATATTTGCTTACAGTTACCAAGACAAGTTTTGTAAGCTTGTAACTTTATTATAGAAAACACATTAGTTTCTTCCTTTTTCTGTTTGTAGTGACTCTGTATGTGTGAAAGCATGTACGTGTGTGAATACATTTCATAATGAAAGTTGTAGAACTGCATTGCTGAAGATCATCCATCCTCTTAAGTTTATTCTGATAGAAAAACTGTGTAATATTTCAGTAGAATTTTATTTAGACACAGGTCACCTAAACCTATAACCTTGTCTAGTATTAATACATACTATTCCCAACTAAAGGACAGCTCTTTAACATGATTTTCCTGTACATCTGCTAGCAATATCTCATTTCCAATGCTTCCTATCTGTTCTTTAATGGAAGATTTATATCTGTTCACATCTTTTTCTTGTGGCAAAGTTAGTGTTCTCTTGAACAGTGGCAGTTTGACTAGTCCTGTTTCTTTAAATTTCCTTCAAGTTGAGGAAAGTGTTAGCAGCTTTAAGTAGTTACATTCCTTTGAGGATAAACAGTTAAAGAGTAGACAAAAATTGTTTTTAAAATAGTAAATACTCTGATTTTTTAATATTACATAATTAACAACTTTAGTTGGAATCCAGTGGGATACTTACACCCCCTCCTCTTCATGCAGAACCCTACTTGCACAATAGTAACTTAGCATTTCAGGGGCAACCTAAGACAAGAATTTCCACTCATGTCGAGCTTTTTCCTAGGAATCACTAAATCTCCCTTGCATAAGCCGTAGGTACCACTTGCTTTAGTGGTAAATCCACTTGTGCAACAGCACTGTCAGTGGCCTTATGAGCCTTGCTGGCTATGTGCTACCTCATTCAAGAGAGGTGGCATGCCTGCACATACCAGTTGCTGAGGAGGTCTGGCATTCACAGGTCTTGCACCTGTCCTGCTTCAATGAACCTCTTTTGCTGGTTTGCCGCCCCGTATATGGAATATTGGACCAGAGGGACCTTTGATGTGATTCAGAATTGTTTCTCTTATGCACATATAAATGTCCCATTGGATTCTGTCCTATAACATAGGAAACCTTAATGCTTTTTGGATGCCCTTAATAGCATGTTACCAGCCATTGATCCCCCCACCCCCACCCCATTTTTTCTACAGTGTCTTATAAAGCTACTGTTCCTAGCATGTTAACCTTGCTATAACCTAACCAAATACTTCAATACTTCTCTCAATACTAACTTTTATAAATGTGTGTAACTCTACACTAGCTTTGTGTGTGTAACTCTACACTTTAAGGTATGACTGTCTTCAGCCAAAGAGCAATATAGTTATTTTGCTGAGGCCATCCCCCATGTCAAAAATGTCAGTTTTCAGGTTTCAGGCGTCTGCAATCATGTGTGGTAGTAGGCTGCTGAGTGGAAGTTTCTGCTTGTGCAGCAGCAGATAAAATAATAATAATAATTCATTATTTGTGTTTGTTCCCACAATTAAAAAACAGTATTAAAGTGGCTTATATACATAGGTGCAAAATCCATAATTCCTGTAACAGGAAAACCCAAAATCAGTATCATCACATTAGCACAAGTAAAAATAAACACTATAAAACATAAGCTGAAAGCAATACAATACAAAATGAGTTTATCCAGAATACACAAAATATCTTGCATTGTGGAATAAATACCAGAAAAGTAACCCTCAATTGAGCCATAACTAATGTCTAAATGCCTGAAAAAAATGTCATTGCCTGGTGTAAGAAAGATGATAGTGTTGGCACCAGGTGACGTTCCTTGGGGAAGGAACAAAAAAGCTCATATAAGCAGAGTGAAAGAAGCAGGGCATCAAATATCACCTCTGTCTCTCCTCCCACTCTGCACAGGATGCTTGCAAGTTTGGGGGCATATGGGCCTTCTGGAAGCTTTGCAGCTTAGAAAATTTGCATACTGCAAATGATTTTCCAGGTACAGTTGCATGCAAAATGAATATTTTTCTTCATTCACAATAACTTGTATATGAAAAATAGTTTAAATGGAAAGCATCAAATTTAAAGAGTTCTGTGCTTCATAATTAACTGGTTGAATTATCTCCAGATATTATTGAAACAAAGGGAATGGTAAGAATTAAAGCTTTTTACAAATGAGATTGGCCTTGATAAGACTGTATACCTTTTCTGAAAGAATATTAAACCCTCGTGCTTCAGTGCATAAGACAACTGCTAACTGATGGAGGTTAAGTGCAGCCATCCCTGGTGTGACATTTATTCCCAACAATGTCAACTACAAAGTTTCTTGCACCTTCCTTGAAAACATCTGGGTTTTGCCTGTTTTCCGACTGACCTAGCTGAACCAATTGTCGGGTCAAATATTTCACTTACTTTGGGAGAATAGCTCCCTTTTAAGATACCAGCTCCATGAATCTATCTAAGCATTTCATTATCGGCAACAGATTTAGCTTTCTGCAGTGTGAGTTTCAGAAAAATGCTGAAGTAATTCATTTTCACAAAGGAAATGATCAGGACACACCTTTTCTTAGAGAGACTTCCCATTTTTCTACTTGCATGGCAGCACCTGTAACCTTTCTGCCTGCAACAGATTCCCTAATCTGATTGCCTACAGGTAACTGTTTGCACTAATATGAGTAAACATGCACCCATACTTTGAATTGTCTATATAATCTATCTGCAAAAAAATGTTGACAGGGGTGCATATCCTACTCATGCAGGCTGGTAAAAGCTTGGGCCGGAGCTTAATTTAAAATGAGTGTCTGTGTGTATGGAAAGGAGATGCACAAACTTGAAACTAGCTTCTGGACCTACTGAATAGATATCCTGCATGCCAAGCCATATGGGAAATAGCCCAAATATGACCTTTCCTTACCCACACACACTTGCAATTGCTGACAGATAGGTCAGTGCTGAAATGGAAGTGCATGCTTTGCCAAGAGTAGCAGGATAGGAATAGGATACACTTAGCTGGTAGTGGGAAGTAAGGAGATGTTGGCAGCCTAAAATGCAGCTTTAATGGGTAGGAGCAGGTCCCTCTCCTACAGCAATTCCTGCTAAGAGTCCAGAGACTGTAACTCTTTATGCACTGATCTTAAAATGAATATTCCACTTTTTCTTAAAAATAAGCTCAAACAGCTTGTAAATAATGTTCATAATATAAAGTTCATAAAACAAAGCAAAAAAAAAAAAAACCCCAGTTCAAATTACCAATATCAATGTTATGGGGGAAAACCAAGGGCAAGATAAAACAACCCAACATAAAAACAGGGAGACAAGGTAACAAGGAGCTCTCTGGTGCTTGTAGAGTACACTGTTGAGGGAGATCTTGTGGGGAAAATCTGGTGAATAGGAGAGGTGCTTAACCTTCTACTGTCTGTTGATTCCCCCTACAAAATTCCTCAAGATGGTTCCTATACTTCTACAGTCAGGCTCCAAAACAGAAGTAAAGTAAGTTAAGAAGGGGAAAGACCTTTGGGAAAGAGACATTTGCAAGGAAGAATTGATCTACAGAGGTGAGCTTGAAGGTTTTCCTTCCAATATATCAGCCCCCCCCCGCCCCGCTCCATGAATTCGTTCCCTAACCCCATTATCTCAAAAAATAAGTTTGCCATTATGGTGTCTCAGTTCAGGCTGGGAATAGAAGGCATTGTTTGTTCAGAGATGGACAGCTCCTGAACCCTCTTTTCCAGTGCTCCAGAGGATATAGTCTTCATGTCCCTCCTTTTGTGCATGATTTTTTCTCATATTTTTATCTGTAAGAGTCTAATACTTCCAGGAATAATAAGCCCTTAACTGCTTATCAATCACACTATATTAGAAAGTGTATCATTCACCATACTAAATTCTTTGAGGCGCTATCACCTCCCCCACAGGCACAGTCACAAAAATAGAGCATGCGTGTAAAGTCCCATCTTGTTCAGATAACCCATCATAATAATATTGAACCTGTAGATAACATAGTAATTGTTTGCATTTTTTGTTGTTATCGCATTGTTAATTTCAAGATTCTTGTCAACTCTCATATTTAGCAATGAAATTTAATTTACTGCAAAATGAATGCATGCATTTGCATTTTCAGTAGGATATAGATTAACAATGGTTTCTGAATCATTATGTGAAACTTTAATATTGGTTCTGAATGCAAAACAGGCAATGTAACATGAAGATGGCCATGGTTGTTAATGGCTTGTTTTAGCTGGAAGCTATAAAATCATCCAAGGACTCTGTTGGTGTTGGAATAATAATTTACCTAGACAATTACCACATGGTGGAATTTTTTGCAGCTCTAATTCAGTGTTATTAATAATGAATAAAATTGCAATTTTCTCAGGTTGCTGGGGGCAATGGGGAATTATTTCAATGAATATTTCAGCACATTATTTTAATCATAGTTCCACAAAATTCAAGTGGTGATATTTTATACTTTTAAGTTTAGTCTGCTAAGGGACCATAGTCATTAAATTGTGAAATATTTGCTCTTAGGTCCATTCTATGATTTACAATCCTTTTAAAAAACACTGTAAAAGAAAGAAAACTGTGTCATTAATACTTGTAATTTGATGCTGCATTTGTTAATGGGCTTGCTCTGATAAATGTTTTTTGCAGTAGGCAGAGCATTTTGAGGAAGGAGGCAGAATCTTTGAAAGCTTAAATGCAAGTGAAGAGGCATTCAAATACATTTAAATTGTTTTATTGTAACTTTGTGTCCTTGTGATCAGTGAAATATTTTATAGAACTACTCCCTCTCTGATAAAATGTACAGAGGAAATCTATGCCAGTCCCATAGAAGTTGATCTTTGTTTTTGTTTCCCTAGCCAACTCCATGACTTCTGGCGCTTAGATTATTGGGAAGATGATCTGCGCCGGCGGAGACGGTTTGTTCGCAATGCATTTGGCTCCACCCATTCTGACGCTTTGCTCAAAGCTGCTGTGGAATACGGTCAGTACTCATTGTAGCACACTCACTGTCTAAAAAGTTTTCCTTTTAGTTCTGATAGTACCAAAAACAAGGGTATTTGTTTCTTTTGTTGTGTTTAGCATCCTCTTTGCTTTGCATGAAAGACACATATGTGGTAGTTTTCAAGCTTTTCCAGTCCCCGCTGATCCATGGGAATTGCTTGGTATCGTATAGGAATGTACATGACAATACTGCATTCAGAGAGAGGAGAAACTGGGAGTGAAGTGACAGTCCACCTGGCTATGGAAATGTTACTATGCAGAGCATCCTGAGGGACTTCTTCTGTGAAGGTTATTATAAAGGGAACTTCCTGTTTGGACATTTTAAGAGAAAATATGAAAAAATGGAAGGCCCCATTCTGCGAGACTGTAAAATGGTGAAGGGATAAACATGTCTTGCTAGGCAGCATGTACCAATGCAAAATGCTTGCTTGGTTTCACGTGCCATTGTGTCATGAGGGATGCTGGGAGGATTTAGTGCCAATAGCAGCACACGGTGTCAGGTCGTGAAGAGGTGAGACTATTCCGTTCAAGAGAGTGCGAAGTGTGCGTCCATGCCAGTACTACTTCTCAGAAATGTGATAAGACAGTATTTTTGTGAGAAGAGAATGAAATTGCTCCCCCTCCTGCCAGGGTGTGATCAAGTAATTTAAGCATTTTACAGTCCAATTGATTTTATAAAGAACATTAACCAGGCCTATACAATTTATGTAGTTTGATTACATTAGGGCACTTCAACAACTTTGTGCTTTTTTATTACATAATTTATGATCTGGATAGATACTATATAATTTTAAAAAATGATTTTTAAATACATGATTTAAAAATACATGATTTAAATACATGATTTAAAAATACATGATTTAAAAATAAAAACTGAGCAAAGAAAGGAGAAAGGAAGGTGTCTCTAAAATGAAATAGGCAGCTTAGAAATGTTTGATACATTTTTGCTTAATAAAAGAAATCCCACCTCCAAATCACTGGGCATTCCATTTTAATGCTTCTTGCTTGGGGTTTTTATTTTGTTTCTAATTAATACTAAGATTCTTAGGATTCTTGTGAAGCTTCTGAATTCCACTTCAAAACTGTATTCTCATGACAGTGATAGCCTATGTTGGGATATCAGATTGTATAACCTTTTTGTTATATCTCCATGGTGTAATTTTCATTTTCCAAAAGTATCTGTACACAAAAGCTGTGAATACTGCTGCTAGGTTTACTTTAAGTCTACTTCATACCCTACCATACTTTAAAGTATGTAACCTTAGCAGCGTAGGGTATTATATTATTAGGTTTAATATTATTACTATCTATGAACTTTGGAAGGTGGCTTTTAACAAGTCAAACCATTAGCCAACTATTTCAGTACTATCTAGTCTGAATGACAGCATCTCTCCAGGGTTTCAGACATGAGCACTTGCCAGTCCTATCTGGAAATATTAGGGGCCTGAGTCCTCTGACATGTCCTTTTCCTCCTCCTACTGAGGAAAAGGATATGTTCTCCTACTGAGCCATGCCTCCTTCCAAATCTGGAATGCCGGTTTTCGCTGAGAGATTAGGACCCAAAACTGGATTGCAGGTCAACCCAAGATGGTGTCCTATTTAAAAGTACAGTTACCATGTTATTTGTTTTTCTTTTCAATGTTTTAAAGACAAAGAAAAGGGAAAGCAAAGCAAACAAGTAGAAGCATAGCAAGACATAAGAAAAAATGGGGAGAAGATATAGAAAACTGTGGATATTTGGTTTAAATAAAAAATAGAAGTAGTCCCTGACATAAATAGATTAAAGATTATCAATCTATTTTAGTTTCTAGACTTCAAAATCATATACAATGTGTTGGTGTAGCAATAGCACTAGACTGGATACAGTTCCTAGAAGCAAATGACAAACATGATGAAGACGACATTTATGCAGCCAAACATGCTACCTAATTACTGAGAATCTGAAAACAGAGAAGAGCACAAGGCCAGCCCTGGAAAACTGTAGAATTAAAAAGAAGAGATAACTCAAAATTACCTTTATTTATTTATTTATTTATTTAACTTAATTAGGGAACCTCATATAGTTTCCCTACTATTTTATTTTGATGCAAAGGGAAATAAAAGCAGCATGCATGAGGAGAAATGTGGATTGCATTATCATTATTTATATTTCAAATCACAGAAGGAAGTTACCTTTTATGCAATACTAAAGTAAATGTTTCTGAAGCATTCAGTATCTAAATTAATGACAGCCTTCTAGAGGAATTTAAAACAGCTTGCACTGAGATTAAATCCCATCGATTTTTTTTACCTTGATGTGCATTTTGAAGCTTGTGCTTATGGATTTTAATATTAAAACTTTTAGTTGACCTTACTCTATAAGAAAACATCCTTAACACTGATGTTATTTTTATGCCTCTTGGTGATACTAATGAGTTGAATAATTTATGAGGTTGTCATGTGAAAAGGATTTGGTGCAGTTTGATGTATTTTCAGCCTCTGGTGCTGGAATGTGATTAATAAAGAGCTTGAGGCACAGCATTTTTTTCCATAGGGCTTAACTTTCATTAGAGATTTTTCGTCAGTGTTATTTTGCTAATTTTATATCTTTCTTATATAATAGCAATATTACTCTTACTTTGAAGAATGAAAATTTCTTCACAGAAATCTCATGACTTCTGGCCAAACTAAAGGGAGTTCAGGGGCAAGGCAATTCACTGCCTTCGAACATCTTCTAGAGGAAAATGAAAGGAAAAATAACTGTTTAGGTTTTGTTGTTGTTTGAGAGGGTTGTTTTAAAACTTACATCCTGTGTTAGTATCATAAATACTACTTTGGGTATCCATATAATAGTAGGAAATATTTTAGTAGTTCTTTCTTATCTACATTGACTGTCAGTTATCATTTAGGAGGTTTGCACATAAATATTGCAGCAGAAGAATGTTTAGTCAAAGCCTAAGTCAGCAAGCTCCTCTGTGTCTGCGATCAAAGGCATCAGCTTAAATAGGTCTGATCAGGCATTGCAGACGAGGGCAGGCAGCTTCAACCGAGCAAAAAACACAGAGCAAAGATGACAAAATTAATCAGTCATTTCTTTGGCAATAAATAACAAGATATGCTGAGGTCTGCAGAAGAGAGAATTTCTATGTTCCTTGGAGATGTGCCTACTTAATACCTGATTTATCTAAGCTTGCACAGCCATGAAAATATGACCTTGATGAATAAAAGAGCATTTTCTAACTAATCTAGACTTAAATCTGTATTGATAGTGAATGCATAGATACAGTAACAATATGATGCTCACAGTTATCAAGGAGCAGGGAAATTTTGAGAATGGCAAATCTGTCTGTCACTTTTGAACTGGTTCCAGGGGTTGTGTGACAAATGTCACATAGTAAGCTGAAACACAACAATGTGGTGAAGGTTGTTCCAGTTACTTGGGGCCCTGTAAACTAAATGGAGAAGGATTTATTCAGACTTCTGAAATTGTTATGCTTTGTAAAATGCATCTAATTAGTAGAACAAGTCATGTAAAAAAATTCTTGAGGCTTAGGTTAAAAGATTTTTTCCACATTAAATGGTGGCACACTATTACATATTTTAACAGTCTCCAGAGATTAGTGGTTTTGTTAATTCTACAATTTTATTATTGTTATAAGCAGTTTAGAAAATCATCTCGAACCACAAGGGAGTCATGTATATAAATGGCTTGTCACATTGGAAATGGCCTGAGCGTTCCACCAAGCATGTCTTGGAACCAAGTCTAAACCAGATATGAGCCTTCCAACCCCTGAACGTTTTTCCCAAGCACACAAATTCTGAGCATATGGGAATGGCAGTTCTCCAGTTTACCCCCATAGCCAATGGAAGCTAATGGATTTGCTTTATACATGTGGATTTTATGGAGATTGGGAGAAACCCCACTGGAGGAAGCAAAATCAGAGGATAGGTGAACTACTGGACCTCTTTCCTTTTCCTCTTAATTTTGCCCTCATGTCTTATCCATACTAATAAAGTAATGGATTAACTAATGTGAGGGGAGAAGAGGGAAAACATATTGGTCCATACATTGGTGTATTTAGAAGATACCTGCCACCCATTTGTCTTCAGTTGGGTGATCCATCATTGGATCACCCTCCCCCTGCAGTATTTTCATTCTGCAGCATTTTCACGTATTCCCTTGGAAATACTGGTTGCATACTTTGAGAGCAAGAAATAGCCTTCAGGTTGGCTAGGTCTATTACTCAAGCTGTTACAGTTTTTAATAGCAGACCTTGGGTAAGCTCTGGATTAATTTGAGATCTTTATTTGCCATGACCCAAACAATTACTCTGGGTAATTATTCTTATGGCTGTGTAGTGAATTGGGCATGGCTGCAGGGATGTACTTTGGCAAAGGAGGTTCATATTTATTTATTCATCAGATTTATATCTCACCTTTTTTCTTACAAAGAACTCAAGGGGGCTTACATCATTTTCCTGCTGTTGCTAGCAGTATTATCTCCACAACAGCAACCCTGTGCGGTAGGTTGGGCTGAGAGTCAGTGAGTGGTCCAGTGTCACCCAGCTGGCTCCATGGCTGAGTGGGGACTAAAACACAGATTACCTGAGTCCCAGCCCCACTCTCTTAAGCACTGCACCACACTGTCACTTCCTAGTTGTGGAGCCATCAAGAACATATCTATATTTTTTACATGTGTGATATCAAAAACATGGCCTTGAAGAATTATCTCAGTGGTGATGACAGAGCATGAAAATTGGGTAACACCTAAGCCTTTTATGATGTGATGTCACACAGAGAAAGTCCTGTTCCTCATAATACTAGTAGCATGCAGAGCAGAGTGTCCCATGAACTGTAAGACTGATGAGATTTGTATGTATGGGTGCAGGGAATCAAATAAGATTGCAGAACTGTTTGCATGTGCTTTGGATGGCAATTGGAATTACTTTTATATACTTTTATTTATTTATTTAAAACATTTATATGCCGTCCTTTACGACA